TCTTCAATGCGTAGTCTGATTCCGGCCATAGAAATTGATGAATATCAAGTGCCAATTTTGATCACATGATCTATTTTGACGCTGAAAATGAACGTCGAGCGTCAGCATGAAAAGGCACCTTGACGCGCTCAGTGGAAACGCTTCATTTCGTTACAATAGGCGCATTCAGCAGACTCAATGGGCGCATTCAGCGGACTCAACAGTTGAGCGAGCGTTCGCTGCTATTGACGTATTCTTCTAGATCTAAAATTCTGATTGGATGATCTAAAAGAATACACCAATAACAGCGAGCGCTCACTTAACTGTTGAGTTCGCTGAATGCGCCCAATGATCAGCAATGGATTGGCAACACTGCTGATCGACTGAAACTGAAAGTATGGTCACGTATGGTGAAAGATTTGTTAACACGTGGGATGTAAGACTCATCCAAAGTTCAAACTAAAAACCTACGCGTGTACAGCCGGTACAGCGTGTAATTGCCGGAAATAGTTTATCCTATATGAAGTGAAAATTGTACTCGTCGAAGTAGATTGCACCTTTACCGAAGTAAGTAGCTCAGTCTAATTTTTATTTTAACGTGCGCTTAACCTTGTTCTTCTTGCCACTCCACCTGCTATTTCGCGATCACACGTGCTGTTTTACTTGTATCGACGAAAGCTTCTTGATTGCAAGTTGAATTCGGAACAGCGATTTACGCGATAGATCTGTCATTAATTAGGCCCTAATAGAATCCTTAGAGTCTGATAATTTGTCTGTTTAACAGATGTCTGTGGTATCCTCGAGAATCAGCAGTGTGTCATCTATGCTGAAAGACAGCGGAGTTAGAGCACAGTTTATTAAACAACCTAAAATATGCACACTCCCGAAAAATGTTAAAGATATATTATATAATTACAAGGGTATTAGAAAAAAAGAATACGATAAGTTGGTACATTCGATTAAAAATGGTGTTGTAAAGGTAATGACAGAGACGAAAGACGCAAAGAAAATTTGCCAGTCTTACAATGCTTGATATATATACATAAACTATATGTATCATATAGTTTATATACTAATTGATTTCTGTATTATGATGTAAGATACTTTCTTTAACATGTTCTTTTTGTTTTTTCAGGATAACAATTTAGCAGAATTTATAACTGAGGCAATGCAATATATATCCTTGTTAGATATTGAACGCAAATTGTTTGTTGAAGCACTTCTTCAAATTGACTGGACGATTAGATCATCACAAGTGATTTTTACTTATAAACTCTTTTTGCAAAATTTAGCATGTATGCAGACATTTCACACAAATATTGTAATAAATTGCCTCGTTGAATTGTTTAAACCAAGTAAATTTTATATTTATTAGTCTATAATAATATTTCATTGGTAATAATATAACATTTATTATAATACTTATTTTTGTAACAGAAAATAATATCGAACATGAAATTGGACAGTTTAAAGATGAAGATGTAGAAAGGCTAAATCATATACATGATATATTACGTGAAATTTTAAGAGTAGTACCAATGTAAGATTTGAAAAAGTGATTATAAATTATTAATTTTTGTCATCATTAACATATATATACATGTTATAATTTTTTTAGGTCAAATACGGATTTACTTGAAGCCCTCGATTCACATTTTCCATTCTATCTTGTACATGGTACTTATGTACATGAAATTTATCTCTATGCATTATTAGAAATTCTAAATTATGCACCTCAACTAAGAAGAAATATTTTAATCCTTATTATTAGAAAGTAAGTTTTTCTATTGATAAAACTATTACTCAGTAAATGAACTAATTTAAACATTTTTAAACATTTCAGTAAATGAAATTTTCGACTTTATTATAATTAATGAAATGTAGAAACGGATTATCATCTACCTCATTTTTTTTTACTGACAATCTTTAACTTTCTAATCAACCTCTTATAAAATTAAAGCTTACATGGGATGAACGTTTGATTTGAACTTAGAATCTGTCAACCTGTCGTACAAAATTACATTTTGACTTTACTAGTAAGAGAATAAATAGTATATCTGTATTTTAGGCTAGTGACGTTGGATGCCAATATACCTTGTGAAGAAACAAACAATGATGAAGACATTGTAGAAGATGATTGTACCAATAATGGAATAGGCGATAATGACAATTTGACCAAAATTAACAGTGACACAGACAAAAGAAGGACTATACATCCAACTGCACGTACACTAGACTCGTGCTTGGAATTATTTTTTAAATATATGCACGAGTTTTGTTTTGTGAATGATGTTCTGCAAATGAAGAACTTGGAGATACTGTATAGCGATATTGTCTATGCATTTGAAAAAGAAATATTAAATATGTACGGTATTCGATATGTGCAATATATCGTGTTCTACATGTGCAGTTTTGGACAATTGCGAATTGAGGAAAGATTTACAAACTGGTTGTGGCGTGAAGTGGTTGTGAAACCTAATTCTACAGTACCACCGATTTATCGGCAAACAGCTATTTGCTATATTTCTAGTCTGCTTGCAAATGCCACATTTATCTCTCCGCAGTAATTAACACATATCTTTGATAATGTTACATAGATAATACATATCTAAAAAAAAGAGTGTATCTAACATTATGCCATTTTCTTCTAGATTAGTGGAAACGATGATATCTAAATTGACGCAATGGCTAAACGAATATATCACTTCGCAAGAATATTCGGAATATATTGAGGATTATGCAAAACACGTTGTGTTTTACTCTGTTTGTCAAGCGTTCTTTCATTTATTTGTCGCGAGGTACAAGCATTTTGTATTTGACTTGAAATATGGTAAGTCATTTATATTTGTTGTATGAAAGCTACAGATTTAACAGCGAGATAAATTTGTATAAACATAATTTTTTCTTTTCAGAGAAATTTCTTCAGAATCTTTCTCTTTTAATAATTAAAATCGTTACTTGTAAATTAAATCCTTTGAAGATGTGCGATACCAAGATCGTTAACGCTTTTGCCCAAACTACAAGAACATATGGACTAGCCTACTGCGACTCTGTAATCGAATACAACGAGCGCAATCAATTACCCATTTTCGGAATGGAATCCCATTTACCCGTTTTGATTCCTAATTTTTTCCCATTCGAATCTTATACATTAGAACATAGTAGACGAAGAATAGCTCCTTTATTTTATAATAATATGGCAAATATTGATTGTCGGTCAGTTAACAAATGTGAATAAAGAAAAAAGTACATAATTTACGTATGTATATATAAATAAATTATGATGCCCCACACAGAGAGAAAAAATTTGCTATGAACGCACAAAAGATTGCAAGATTTAATTGTCAAATTTGTTTGCTATGCAAACAAATTTGCATATTTGACAAATATTTTACATTTGTTGTAAATAATTTTAGTAATGAGTATTAAAAAAATAAGTATTTGTTACACCTCCAAATAATTTTGCGATTTTCATATTTGCATGGCGTAGAATTAGCATTCATAGTTTTCTCTCTGTGTACATCTTAAATCAACATATGCAGGTATATTTTTTTTATTCTTTCGACTGTTTGTAATAATTGAAAGATACACAAGAATTACGTAATGCTATTTTTTTTATAATTACTACGTTTTATCGAAAAATTATGTACAATATAATAACTTATATTTAATAAAATTTCGGAATGATAAAATTAGGCTATGTGTGTACACTTTATTAATGCTATATCAATTTTTAAAAAATATCGAAGAAAATAAATAAAAAAAATAAACGGAAAAAATTTATATGCTAGAATATCTACTGAAAAGATAAGTTCGCTTAATAAATTTATGCAGATACATCCATTTTAGAGAAATCAAGTCGTCAATCCGGATGAACTTGCAAAACAGTGCAATGCAAATGCACTAGAAATTCTTTATGTATTAAGGTTCCATGACAGTCGAAATTTCGGAAAAGTAATATGACCACTCAAATTAGCGCGTTAAACGAAAAACGCGCTAAAGTTAAATGATTCTGATGTAGATTAACTTTGATCTTGTTTTAACTTTATCTCTTTTTCTGTTCTAAGAATTAGAAAAGAACAAGGAATCAATTAAATTAAAATTAAATTTAATCTACATCGGTAGCAATGTAATCTCTTTATCTTAACTCTTAGAACTAGGAGATAAAAAAATAAATTAAACCTTGTAGATAAAAGTTAATCTACATTGATAAAAATGGACATAATGCCCGTTTCTACCAATGAGAATTAACTTTACTCTTCTTGTTTTAATCTAATTGGAACTAGAAAAAGATGAAGAGTAAGTTGAATCGAGATTAAGGGGATCCTAAAGCCGTCTGTATTATCGGCTAAATCGTAATTTTGTATAACAAATACTTTTTTCTCTTTCACAAATTTGAAAATCCTTTTCTAGAATTAAAATATACACATTAATACGTGAAGTGGAATTTATGCCGAAAACGACAAAAAATTTCGAAATTGAAATCTTAAGAAAAATTTTTTGTCGTTCTCATAAACTCCACAAACACATATTAATGTGTATACTTTAATCCTGGAAAAGGATTTTCAAATTTGTGAAAGAGAAAAAAGTATTTGTTATACAAAATTACGATTTAGCCGGTAATACAGACGGCTTTAGGATCCTCTTAAAGTTAATCTACAATTGTGATAGAAACGAGAATAAGTCGTGGAACCTATTTAGATTGCGGATCTATACGCAGGTTTAAAGTTCGGGATCAAACGGCGTTCCGGAAGTTCGGCGTAGAACAGCCGTTCTGCCGTTCTGCGCAATAATCGCGCCATCTTTCTCCCCGTGCAACGTACCTTCCGTCCATTCCTCGTTGATCGTGGTGTTGGTGATCGCATCGCAGCGCGGTGTTCGCTCGTGCGAATGGATACGTAAAATGGCGAGGTGCAGTTGTTATTTACTCTCGCCGAACGCATCCAAGTGAGATCAGGGAAGAGCGAGTCAAAGTACCGAGTTCGTCACTAGCTCGAATTTGTTACGGCGTGTTTATAACACAACTCGTGCGAATGATCGTGAGTATCGTTGTTGCACGCTCATTTATTGAGACATATCGGTTATTCCGTGTAAGTAGAGAAGAAAAGATTAGTATCGTAATCGCTGTCGCGCTCATTGTACGCGTTTCTCGATCATGTGTTTTTCAATCAGCGAATTGTCAGTTGCGCCACGCCATGCCTCTCCATGAGATAACGTGTCGATACCGGCCTTTGAAGCCCCTCCCCGTCCCTACGATTAATCCTTTAATCCATGCGAGGTTATGAGATTCCGTTTAAGAACAGTTCCGCAGGCGATTTTCCCGTTTTAAGTCGTCGAAAACGTGCCAGTTTTTCCTTTATCGTCATTAGCCGGTTCGCCTAAACGCTCGAACGCTTCTTGTTTATCCTCGTGACGGACGTCGCGTTAAGAAGACGAGGAACCACGGTCGCGACTCTCTTTGTGCTCTGGCTTTTTAGGTTATGGTCGTTGCGAGTTTTAAACTGTCGATTTTAAACGATCTGTCGCGACGCTTCGTTGCTCTCGATCATATTGTTCCATCGCGTCTCTAAAAGATTCCTGCACTGACTCCTTCACTGAGATCGCTGTAGCTCTCGTGTTCGAGAACCGCATCGCGTAGCTTTCTCCAACAAGTGTTTTGTGAAGTTAAAATCAGCTTGTCCTAGTTACATGTGGCGTCTCTAAGATCACTGTAAATATGCTGTCGAATATAATAACATGTTAATGATAGCGTTAAGGCATCATCTTCTCACGTTTTCTCACATCTTTTGCACAAAGAAATATTTAAATATAAACAATCTGTTGTTATATTCCTTACAGCTATTCAGTCACTTTGTATCATATCTGTTCATTATGTCAAAAATCAATTTGTTGCATTATTCCATTTAATAATTTTATCATACGTTATTCACAATCAGGTTAAATTAATTTTTTGAATCAAGTATTAAAATAACTCATTCATTAAGCTTGACACTTTTCTTCTCTTAATTTAAAATCTCAAGTTGTGTGATCGGTGTGAATTCTGTGATCAGGGTCCCTATTCTTGAAAAGAAACTTACACGAAAGTCTAGAAAAATACTATAATACATACATAATGTATACTATAGTATTTCCTTAATTTTTCGTATACGTTTCTTTTCAAGAATAGGGTGTGTATTCTGTACACGCTTATCAACAATTGTCGATGTCGTTATGTATCTCTCAGAGAGATACGTAACGACACTGACAATTGTTGATAGGAGCATACGACATGAATAAGTTTAAAGAGATTCTCTCTAGACTTATTCATGTTGTATGCTCCTATCATAGCTCCTATTCACTCTAACGAACGTATTGGAGTATTAGAGCATGTGACGTGAATAAATCTTCTCTTTCTCTTGTTTCACAGCTTTTTTATCATATAAGAGGTCTGTTTTTTATTGCTATACTTTCTGAACTAGCACACAGTGCAACAATAAAAAATAGAATAACCTAATGCCTATTTTATAATTGTGTAAGCATAGTTATAAGTGTTTTTAGTTGTAAAAGTTGATCAATTACAGTTTACTATAAGGAGAATATTCAACTATGATTGGTCAATTCTTACAACTACAACCACTTACAACTATACTTGAGCAAATGTAGAATGGGCTCAAAATATCTGTGCAACAACACGTAACAAAACCAACTGTTGGTAGACATGTGCAGAATACAGGTCCAGTTAATACATTAAGGACCATCTGTGGAGGCTGTAAGCTGTAAGCCATAAGACATAAGACATTAATTAATCACAATCTAATGTGAAGAGAGTAATTAAAGCCATGACACAAAAAGATTTAAGCAGTAAGGTCAGAAACACATAAAAATGTAAGGCAATAAGATGTAAGCAGTACGCGAATTGGCCAATTATAAGCTGTCTATAATGGGAGTAATATTGTGTAGTAAGCCGTAAGCTGTAATGAGTTTTCTACAATAAGGCCTGTTACACAATAGGGCTATAAGCCGTAAGAAATTAATCAGTCATAGTCGATTTTTTTTCTCATATTCGACTGTAATTGGTCAATTTTTTACGGCTTATGACTTGCGATCCTATTGTGTAACAGGTCTAAGCCATTACCTAAGTTTTGAGTCTCAAGCCGCAAGAAATTTACTAATTACAGTCGAAACATGTCTGTATTTCTGTGATTGGTCGATTTCTTGCGGTTTACAACTTACTACATCATACTATTTCCATTGTAGATGTTAAATGCATTGTACTTGGCCTCGCAATAGAGGCCGAAATCCACTTGGCTGAAGAAGATGTTAAATGTATGCGTTAGCTCTAAAACATACACAGTAAGCGAATTGGCCAATCATAATAGAGACCGTAAGGTTATAATGTAAGCAACAGCAAATTCAACATGTTGATTTCTTTACTGCTTACATTTTACTGTTTAAATTTTTCTATGTGCCATGTCCTTTAATCGACTATCACTGACATCGATTTCTTGTAGCTTACGGTATACTATCTTCATTATAAATGGTCCTTTAATGATTGGTATACATGCGGACATTATTTTGTTTAATTAGAAACTAATATTAAAAAAGGTGACCTGTAAAGAATTTTACGTTAGTTGTTCTTGTTTTATTTACCATGAGTTGCGTATATTCCAAAATTTGTTGGAACGTACCTCGTGATGTAATTTATGTTATTACTTACTATATATAAGATTAGAAATTATTGTATCTTTTAAGGATGTAGACACAATGAAGAGAGAGCACAGACAATAAGGACAGGAAATTAACAAATTTCCACCTATCAGAAACCATATATTTTAATGTAGCCAGTAGGTTGAAATCTGTTATTTCCTGTTTCTATTGCTTTTCATTAAGTGCATCTAGTAGTACAATTACTCACTAAAGGGCTAAGTAGTGGTAGTCGAATGTGATTAGTTCTTATCTTTAAATCTAACTAATCACATGAAAGCTGTGTTTCATTATTTACTACGAGTATTGAAAATTTATAGTTCACGTCACATATACTATAGATTTTCAGTACTCACAGTGAATAACGAAACGCACCTGAAATTGCTACTTAGCCACGGTCTTAAGACCGTGGTACATAAAAAAATTTGAGACGTAAGACTTAAGCAGTAAGCGAATCGACCAATAGAGATTGTAAAGGTCCGTCTACAGTACACGTAGTAAGCTTGGTTTAAGAAGTAAGAGTAAAAAATTGATCAATCATAGTCGATTATTCTTTTCATAATCGACTGTGATTGATCAATTTTTTACTCTTCTTAAATCAAGCTTACTATTGTATTGTAGATGGGCCTTAAGACCATAACATAAGCAGTAGCGAATCCAACATGTTGATTTCCTTACTGCTTAAGTCTTACGTCTTAAGTTTTTGTATGTGCCAAGGCCTTTAATAAGTGATTGCACTATTGGATTTACCTATTGGATGCTTTCCATTTAATGTGACACAAGTCATCACAAACATTGTTTCATCTTTCTTGGCATTCAATAAATAATAAAAACAGAATGACATTTGTGATGACTTATGTCATCAAATGGAAAGTATTTGTAGCTTCTAGGCCTTAATAAGTGAGCTAGAAATATACGTATTTGCTATTTTCAAATTTATTAACATGTTCTTAATAATTAATTGCGTTAGTGATGAGGCTCTTTGTACATATATAAAATTCGATAATTTCGAAATAATATTTATATTTTCTCTTATTAAAGTCTCTTTTATATTTTTGATTAAGCAGTTCTGCTTACAATAATATTTCATTATGTTAATATTTCAAATTATCTTCTATTATGCTACCATAGTTTGCAAATTTACGTTTGGTAAACAAATTAACACATCTTACAACCCAACTAAAGTATATACATGATTGTTGTCATATTATTACTTTTTTTTTATTATGATATAAGATATCTTTGAAGCACATAAATTGTACAAAAATTTATAATTTTCTTGGATCGAAAAAAGATGCGATAGATACATATATTTTGACGATAACGATTAACAGTTAGCAGAATTTGTGTTTAAAATGTTGAAAAAAAATTAAGTTCTGTAGGAGACTACTTTAAAAGTTTCCATTAATGTGAAAATATATTTTTCCGTATTTATTTCCTTATACTAAAGTTACTCTTCAATAAATGTTAATGATTTTATATTTTACCTAATATATATATATATATACACACACAGGGTGTTTCATTTTAATCTATCACCCCAAATATTTCCGTTCCCTTGCATTTTACAAGAAAATGTTTCAGATAAAAGTTGTATGGTTTCAAGGGGGCCATAAAATGGTACCATTAGTTTGACCTTAGATAGTCGCTTAAAGATCACATAAAGGTCACCTTCAATTTCTTAAATTAAACCCACTATTTTTCATTACATATTCTTGTAGCTTACTTCGAGAGCTTTCCAAAACACTATAATAAAATATTTTTTCATTAAGTATTTTTCGAGTTATAAGTTATACGATATTTAAAGTCTACTTTACACAACACTACATTATTTTTGTTAACAAGTTTTTACGCTGTTAAATTTACAGTGTATTTCTATATTATTTCAACATTATTTCCTCAACGATTGTATTGTTCGGATATATTTGCTTATCTTTTGAAATTATACGTAAAAGTCGAATATAATTAGTTATTATTTTCCATAGGTTGTACCGCATAAATACTAGCAGATTCCTCTACAAACATGATATTGATGGATTGGTCTAAATCAGTGTATTAGCAACAATCCAATTTTGATCTTTATTAATTGAGAAAGGATCATATTTGCTAACACCTAAGTTTTGAATAATATGGATACACATTATTATAATGTTGTGCACAATGCCAGTGGTACTTTCACATTAGAAGAAGTACCAAGAATCTGTACTGCAGACGGCCAACGTATTCAGTTTGTTGTTGAGGATGTTAGTGATAGCAGTAATGGTTCACAACGGCTTGTGACTTATACTACTGCACCACAAAACAGGCAGGCAATATTAACCCCGCAAACTATTAATTTAGGGAATCAAATATCTACGACGCGATTGGAACAAGGGTAACTTATACAGCATGCATTTTCAATTGCTCGAATTGTAACGAAATAGAGTAGAAGAGCTCTAAGCTTTTGATATTTTAGGAGAAATATATAGATTCAAAAGGATTTAATAATAAATATATATAATTTTAATATCTCTCAAAAAAACAAACAGTAGTTTAGAGTGTCGATACTGGTTGTAAGAGATAAACTTTAATGGTTCTATATATATATAAAATAATATAAATATGTTAATCTGTAAAACGTGTATCTTGATATTTTAAATACCATATATAATGGGCCATACATTTTGAGATTAAGGTGTTATTTCGGGTTTCTAAAGTGTATAATAACTTTACGAACATTCATAGAAAACGCACTTAATTTGATAACACTTTTTACATATGCGAATGTTTCCATACATATCAGGATTGCATAACATGGAAGTAATTTTCCTTGCATATCAGGATTGCATAACATAGAAAATATATTATTATAACAGGTGCTTCTTAAAGTAGTCTTCTATCATTCTACTGAACATACCGTATATACTATACATGTATGTAAATATATATGTATATGTGAATATATAATTATGTTCTAAATATGATAAAAATAAAAATAGTGATAAGTATCTATATTTTGCACTTTTTATAAATTTAAAGTATAAAAAAATATATATTTTTTTTAAACGTAGTAGTGTATATTTAATTATATTCAATTCTGTTTTATATAATATAATTTCATAACAAAACATACTGCAAAAATATTAAAAAGAAATTAATCCTTAGTACATATAATTGGATCATTCGAGTTCTGCATATTTCTTTTTTTTTTAGTACTAAAAACACCAAGTCATTAGTTTTAACATTTATATACAATTTTTTAAATATAACGCTACAAATAGTTTTTAAAGGTGTTAAAGTGTATATAAGAATTACTTAATTTTTATAAAGTATATATAAGAATTATTAAATAATTTTCGTACATATATACTTGTAAAAGTGATGAAAATTAACCCGAAATATGAACAATCCATCGTATGTAATAAACGATTGAAAAAAATCTTGGTGTGTATTAAGGGTTAAGAATACAATAAACTTTTTAACTTTTTTATTATAATTATTATATTTATCTCATCTTTTATGATATTACATTCACATTTATGTTTTTGTTCAACTTTTGATTTTTATAAGGATAAGAATTTGAATAATTCTTTCTTTTATTTGTTCAGGAAAAAGTATTTTACAGTTATATAAGAATTTTTCTCTTGTACGCGTGTGCCTCAAAGAAAATATTACTAAAGAGTTTTGTATTATAAATCTGTTTATACTAATTTATTAATTATGGTGTGTTGTGTATGTATGTGCGTTTTTGTGTATATATATTTTTATTTAAGGCAAAATGCAGATATTACAAGTTAATAAAATACAAATTGAAATTAAATATATATTTATGGGATAGAAATAATCAGAAATAATAATTAGAAACTGTGAATGATAATTAAAGAATAATGTTATATATTTGATACAATCCATCCTTAACATGTGTGGCCTATGAGCGACTTTTTGTGTTAGTGGTTATGCTAGTTCTATTTAAGTTTCTTAATTTATCGAGTATTTTGTATGTTTAAATTTTAATCTAGCACACAAATATTTTCTTTTATTAAAAACGTCATGTATATCTAAGAAAAAATAATATTAGATATATTTGATACAATCCTTTCTTAAAAAAAAAGAAGGAGAAAGATTAGTATTAAAATAATTATAATTATATTAAAAATAATTATATTGAAATAAAGATGTATCTAATCTTATCTCGAAAAAAAAAATTTTTTTCCTAAATTGAAGCTTTGATCGAATAATAATTTACCATTATAAAGTTATATCTCGCATCCAGATAACAAACTTTTGTTCCAATTCTGTTTTTTTTTATTAATTTCATCTAATCGCTCATCATAAGTGATATTTTGTAGAATAAAATAGTACATAATAGTATATTTTTTATCGATAAATATATATAGTATCCATGTTAATATCTTTTATATTTGGCTAAAATAAGATGTATTTGTATAACAATATATGTAATAGTGTTTATTACGTTTCAGACAAAATGTCTATATAATCAAAACGAATGATATATCTGGAACCCAGGAGATATTAAAACAGGAGGTATTAAATACCGTGAATGCACATATTGTTAATGAAAATATTGTGAGCATTGCAAGTAATACAGGTAAGTAAATGATTGTGCTATATTAATATGCTTTGCAAAATCTGCTAATTTATTTTACGTTTCATTATTATGTATAACATTGGTCTATGGTATTTTTCTTGTTTGCAATACAATGAATAGGCTATTTTTTTTCAGGTATTAAGACAGAATGTAAAAATGAAGGGCAGTCAGTGCAGTTTATGAAAATACAAAACGCTAATACTTCCACAGTAGCGAAGCAAAATGCATTGTTAGAAAAAAATCAGACTGCCATTTTAACTAAAAGTAATATACAAAATAATATCACAGTGAGTTATTACACATTATAATAATGTTTAATAAAAAAAATTAATTATATTCTTTTAATAATAGCATTGCAATTATTTTTACTTTTAGCCGCCTTTTTATGTAAATTCTGAATCATATAATCCATGTCAGATGGAGAAAAAATTAAATGTTAAAGCTTGTCAGATTAAAAATCGACAGTTAACAAATAACATTGTGGGTATAATACCTCAAACTCCAGGAATAAAGGTAGTAACTACGATGGAAAACCGGATTCAAAATTCTAATACAATTGGTCCTAAATCTACGCTGTCTGTCTGTAAAACTATCGGTTCACAAAGACAGGTTGTGGCTGTGAGACCTGTTCGTACTCCTAATTCGAATATTTCGCACGTGCGACCAGTGGCAATAGTTCCTCCTGAAATTTCTAAAACACCAACGAGAATGCAACCTCCAGATATGGAGCATTTAAATGAGCAAATCAAGCAAGCCAAAATTAAACAGTTAAAACTGCAAATCGAGAAACAAAGGTTTTTACAAAATAACACACAACAACTCTCTCATACTTTGCAGCATATTCATTCCTCGTCGCATAATCCCACGCGTCATTTTATAAGTTCTACGCAACAAAGAACGCAGCAGATTTCAATCTCTACACAACAACCGAAACCATCTGTGGTAATGTCAGTCTCTTCATCAGCTGAGCATAATACGGCCATTACTAACACTGATATGGAAGTCAATTCTTCGGAACTTGTTCAGGAGAAAGGGCACAGTACACAACAGTCTTCTTCACCACGATTAGAACATGAAAGCAGTTCAAGTGAAAGCGTCGCTTACCTTAAAAACACAATTAATGACCCAGCAAATGCCATAGTTCAGCAACAAATTCAAGGAAATACGGCAAAAATGTTAGTGATGTTAGCCACAGGAGAACAGAGACTAATTACGTTCGATATACCGAACGAGGACTGCACTGTACACGACCTATTGGATCAGGTACGTGCAGTCTTGGGCCAGGTATGTTTCTACAAAGATTTGTAGAAAAATTGTACAGAGTAATTGATAAATTGCTATATAGTTTGAAAATTTTGAAAATTTCGAAGAATTTTGTAAAATATTTTAAAATATTAAAGAAATATTTATAATATCGATATCAACGTTTAAAAAATTTATAAATTTTTTCATAATAGCATAAGAAAATTTAGCATTTGGTAATTGCTATTATATGTTGTTTTGATCCGGCTCCAGAATTGTAAGGCAACACAATGATTAGTAACAATCGAATTTTTGCAAGATATTTTATTTTTATATATTACATGAAATAATTCTTAGGTGAATATTCCATTCCCTAATGAAACGCAAGTTTCTCTGGTGGATGATCCCGCACTGGGTATAAACTACATAGTGGAACCAAGAGATTCCGGGATGCTTTCAACATCCTTCGAGGGTACTGATGGTGATTGTAATTCTACTCAGGAAATTGTGAGCTCCACTGCGAATATTGAAAATTTATCTCAAAGTACCAAGTAAGATATGAAATTGTATTATATTTATATCATAATATTCAATTATATCACAAAAAATTCTAAACTGGCAATATTTTCAGTGCATCGGATGAAAATAGTAACACTTCACAAACTATTGAGGTGAGTTTATAGATTTAGTAAAAAAAATTAGATTAAATAAGGATATTGGCATAAAAAAAATTATGCTACTCTTTTCAATTACGTTTATATTGCGAATATAATGGAATTTTATTTTTCTAAAGTTTAAAATTTGGAATATTTAATTCTTAAAGATTTATTATTATAAAATAGTCGATAATATCTAACTTAATATAAAAATATATAATCTATATAATTTATAGTAATATTATTTTGTTGATACTATGCCAATTTCTTTGTTTTAACATATCAATAATATTACTGTATTATATTCGATACTTATATGAATGATATAATAGATGTATTATGTAAAAATAACAGAATGGAAGAGACAGAATTAAATGAAGTAAATATAGTATACAATAGTTAACTCTCGACTACAGCAACGGGTCATTTGGACAACGAGATACTACTAAAGACCGATATTTTTATGGGAGAGAGTTACCTCGCGTGAGCCTGGCGGTAATTGAAGAACACTGATATCATCAACTATTTTGGCTGTCCCTAGACGATTTCAAAATTGTAAAATTTACACGTTTCTGATGATAAAACAATTATTAAGGAAAGTAAAATCCTCATTAATTTATCTTTGGAATAACTAAAATAGTTAATAATGTTTTCAATATTGGGCTCTCCGGATAATTATGCTAAAGGATCATATATACCGTAATCCATTAACTTATGCCGTAATCTGTAAGAATTGACTACTTAAATCACACATTAAATCAGTCAAATGAAAGGGGAATAATTAATTATGATAAATTTTTACAGATTACGGCATAAGTTAACAGATTAATTCCCGTAAAGCCTTAGACTATGGGTTGACTATTACTATTGACGATTGCCCGGTTCTATTTCAGTTAATCACGATGGACTTGCTACATTGACTGAAATAGAATCGGGCAATCGTTAATCCGCAATCTGATACGGACATAATGATGTTGGTCTTTATTAATATTTTGTCGGTGTTTGGACCCGAAGCACAAATTTTAGACGCGGTCTAAGTTGGTATAATCTGTATAATTGATACTATATGGTTCTAAATTGTAAATAATGCAGATTCACTTGCATTCTGTACTCTTCAAGGAACATTTTAAAGCTTATATGTTATTTTTGTAGCTGTAGTTAAGGGTTAATGATAATTTATATACAATATGTAATAAAATATCACATTGATAGCGATTGATAAGAATTTTCGTATGAAATTAAGGAAGTACACTTAAAGTTCATCATTTAAATTAAATGATATTCTACAAGTACGAAGTATACCATGTTATTACTAGGAACCTATTTTGGTCAAAGGAATGCTTGCTCTCTGTCCACACTGCGGATACAGTTCACTATTCTTCAACCGATGTGAACGATGTAATACAAAAATAAAAATTGATGGAGTCAAATCGATACCCATAGCAGAAAGGAAGGAGGCTGGGATGTCTGTCGATGTAAGGATTATGTCTGTGATGCCAGAAGACCGATATATACTTATTAATACAATGTTATAATGAGATCTTATTATAATGATCTATTGTTTGACTGATATTGCTAACATATTTAATTTACTTAAAACTAAGAGTTTAGTTTAAGAGGACTATTAACATAGCATTTTAATATAGCAAATTTAGAGCGCTTTCAGCATATGGTCATTAAGAAGTATTTTGTTTAGAGAAGGATTTAGCCAAGAATTAATTTTAAAACTAAGACGTTTTATATCACTGTCATGTCATTACAGGTCATATCGAAAGCAGTTTACTACGATCATCTTAATGTCATATAATGTATCACGTATCCTAGTGGCCGTTTATTGGCGATGACATTGGTTAATTAAGGACATATTGAGTCATTGTGCCAATAACTGTGCCAATAAATGTGCTACTAGTGTAATTTAGTAGTAGTGTATCATATACTTTCGTCAACCAATTTCTTCTATCAATATTTCCCGTGTCAATTTGTAAAAATGTATTACGATTGTATATTTTTATAGATGTTTTATAAGAAGAACAACGAACGAAATGCTACGAAATCAGAGAAAATAGAACGAGATGGTCCCAAACGATCCAAAGGAAAAGCTAAAGGTACAGCTTCCAAACCAAAGCCTATTCATAAAGAGCCAGGTACATATAATAATTTTATATATTTTATGCATGAAACATATATATATATATATATACACATTAATGATAATTAATTTCTAGAATGTTTGACAATATCTTCTGACGAAGAGGAAGAAGGCAGACCTAAAAAAACTGGAAGCATTAATAATAACGCAGTAGTAGGCAACGCAAGTAACACATTTAATGAAGATATGGACACCATTGTGGATAAGGAACCAATAATTACAAACACTTCTGTTTTTAATTTATATGATGATGTTATAAATAATGAAGAAAATAGTAAAGGTAATGTTTTATGAGATGCATAAGTAATTATCACAATTTACGACTGATATAATAATATAATAATGAAATGTTGGATTTTAGAAATAAATGAAAATCAGAACTTTCTTGATATTGCACAAACTGCTCTAGAATGTCGAACGGTCAGAATAGGTTCTTATAAATATATTCCTCGGGAAAAAGTAGTGATTTCCTATAGTGGTGTAAGATTTAGCGTACCATTATTAGAAGATGGTAAGTTGATTTTATCTATAATGGAAGTGTCTATGGGTACAAGATTTCATAAGCTTCTTAAAATATTCCAATTTTTTACAGATGCAAGTTTTGTTACTCTTGACGTGAAATATAAAGATATAGTTAAACTCTTAATCCATTTTGGAAAGACAATGCCAGTACTATTCTTTTATACATCTGTAAATACAGGAGCCATGATACGTGAATTATTAGGAATGCAAGATCCAAAGGGGCCATATTATGACCCTGCTGGAAAAGGTGTTTACATGACTTCTATATGAGCTTTCTGTATTTTAAATATTTTCTGTAATTTAATGATTATTCTACATAATATTTAATCTCACAATTTTTTTCGATACAATCATGTGTATACAGAAAAGATTCTTGCAAAGCCCGATGATTAATAAACTTTGTTTTTATTATTTTTTAGATCACACGCATAAACGTATTACATTATTACCAGACAAGTTACCGGAGGATTCAAAGGTGATATTAACAAACTTATTCTCACGAGGACATAAAATAGACGAATTAAGTCCTAAAGAAGCTAATGATATACTTATACGGGCATCACCAAGAGATGTACGTATTTAAAATTAAATTTTATGTCATTATATATATGTCATAATACAAATATTTTTACAGTGTTTACAATCACATAATACTACACGGAAACAGAGTCAAAACGTAGCAAATACTACTGCTGTTAGTGATGACATACAAACGTGAGACTTTTATTAATAATCGATTTTGTCTTTTAATAATTTGAAATCGAATAAAATATATTTTATAATTTTATCTATTCGATCTAATATTACTTCATTTTTCATGTACATCAAATTTATAAATATGATTGTTGAAATTTTTTAAACGTAAACTTTCTTTTTATAGAATAACTGTATATCCACCACCTCCTGCAAAAGGGGGAATAGCCATCAACACTGAAGATTACTTATGTCTTGCGGAAGATCAGTTCTTGAATGATGTCATTATAGATTTTTATTTAAAGTATTTGACCTTAGAGGTATTATCAGAATCTGATCAACATAGAACTCACGTGTTTAGTTCGTATTTTTACAAACGTTTAACTAGCCCACATGCCCAAGCTGCCGAAAGCATCGTGCCAATGACACCTGCTGCCAAACGGCACGCGAGAGTACAGAAGTGGACGAAAAATGTTAATATATTTGAAAAAGATTTTGTTATAATTCCCATAAACGAACAGTAAGTAATCCTGTAAATTTGATTTCGTAAATAATGAATCCTATAAATTTAATAATTAAGATGCAACTCTTTATCTGATGTTTTAATACTGGGTTCACTCAAGATCACGGACCGAAAATCTTATCAGTATGTGCAAGTTCAGTAAATTCTAACATTTTCTTCAACTACGTTGTAAAAAAATTGTTTATAACAATGTTTTTTTACAACCTTACATAATTGTAAGTTACATAATCTTATTCCTTGGATTTTGAAATTTAAAATGAAAAAAAATTTAATTATGTTTATTTTAAGCAAAGATATATTGATTTGAAGTACATAGAATCAGCGAATATCAGTTAAGAAAATTTCAGAGTGAATATTATTAGGGTTAAGTTGAAATATCAGTATTGAGAGATATCAGATAAAGAAATCCATTGCATACATGAAAAGTTCATTTGCATAGATGAGAGAAAATGAAAAAAATGTTTTCTTGCATATATTAGTCTAAGATCCGCATCTTAGGCTCGCATTGAAATAGCTTCTAAACTATTCTATTCATATTAAAATAGCTTCTAAACTAGCTTCTAATATAAACGCAAGTCAATGAGTTTTATTCTTCAAGTAATCCTATATGACTTTTTGACTCTGACATTAATATAAGCAGAAATCATATTATTTCATATAACAATATATAATACAATGTGTTTTTAACTAAATAAAGAAAGTTCTATATTCGATCAAAGTGGATCTTAGTGCTTAAATATTTCTGTGAATTTATATACATATCTGATTCTTCAAACCGCGCACTGAAATCTTCGGACCGAAAAATTCGGCCTTGAAACGCAATCATAAGCAGAACAAGAGTAATATTATCTATTAGCAAGCAATTTAAGATATACACGAAAATCCTGGCTGAGGTAATATTTTTCGCAATAAATTATTTACAGATTTAAGAACTCATTAACATTAGATTATTAATAGTCTCATAAAGATACTTATTAGCATAAAAAATTATTTTCTCATGATTGCGTTTCAAGACCGAAAAAGATTTCGGCGCACGGTTTGCAAAATCAGATATGTATATAAATTTAAACAGAAATATTTAAGTACTAATATCCGTTTTGACCGGATGTAGAATTTCTCTTATTTAAATATATATTTATTTTTATTGGTCCAAATTCGTATCATATTAATATTGTTTATAGCGCACATTGGTTCTTGGCTATTATTTGCTTTCCTGGGTTAGTTGGAAAAGTATCCACCTGTACTGCAAAAACTAACGAAAACTATGTTAATAAGACTGCGCAAAAAAGTAAAAAAATAAAAGAATTAAAAGCAAAAGCTGTCACAATTGGCTCTACAACAATCACTCCTGTACCAACGACCATAACGATAGACCAGTTAGATGATGATGGATCTGAGAGAGACGAAGCAGAAGGCGACGATGATGAAATGGAAATGGATAGTGACGAAGAGGTAGAATAAATTGTATTGTTAATAATTTTTTGTATTTTAAAACAGTTGCTTATAATGTAATATATTTTACGTGTAGGACGAGATAGATCAATCAGAAGAAGACAAAATCCAAATTAATATTAAACTCGAAGAGCAGAAGGAAACCATCAGGAAGTAAGCAACACGTCTATATCATGTATTTATAATGCAATCTATTATGATTGTAATATTTAACTAATTTAATTTATAGTCCCTGCATATTGATATTCGATTCGCTTGCTGGTGCTAGTAGATCACGAGTGGTTGCTACGTTAAGAGATTATTTAAGTTGCGAACATGTTGCCAAACTTGGTGTAGAAAAGACGTTCTCGAAAGATACTATTAAAGGAGCGTGTCCAAAAATACCCCAGCAATCAAATTTTACTGATTGCGGATTATATGTTTTACAATATGTGGAAAGTTTTTTTAAGGCAAGTATATTAAAATATCTTTAATATTTTTTGTTGTATTTATTTCTTACATGTCTAATTATCAATGTGATTGAGTTTATTTCTTTTTATAGGATCCTGTTAAAGATTATACTTTGCCAATTAAAACTTTGAAAACATGGTTCGAGGAAATTGTTGTAACGAGAAAAAGGGAAGAATTATCGAATTTATTAATTAAATTGATGAATATTAAAGGGGGTAAAACTATTAATTTACCTACTGTAAATTTCCCTACAAAGTCGGAGTCCGAGAATAATAAAAGAAAATCTACGAGTGATGCAGATACACGAATGGTCACATTTGTGACAGAAAATAATGAATCAACTAACGAGGTCGTTGGTAGAACGTATCAGATCATTCCTTATTCTTTGAGTTCTAATTCGTCTGAGAGTAATTCTTCAGATATATTGACGGAACAGAAAATGACAAGGTATAAAAATATACATATATCTTTTATATATGTTAGTTTTATATATAGTGGATTAAATATATTTTTATAATTAAGTTTTTGTAATTACTGTTAACATTACTAAAATACGATCATATATGAAATATTCCTTGAGTTTTTTCATTATAATTTTCTATGGATATTCTGATCTTTTCCAAAAATATTTTCCTGAAGCATATTTTAGATATTTCCTCTAAATGAATATGTATAATGCGTAATTACATGAAAATACATTAATCCCATATCATTAAATTAATAAATTTACCACATTAATTTAACGATCATTTTATTGATTTTTAGATCATCGGCCGAAACAATGTCCTATTTGAAATCTAAACGAATTCATAGGATAGTATCAAGAACACAGAATCAAGATGACTCTCCCAGCACTGCTAAAAAACACAAAGGGGGGGAATCTCTCAATTCCTGTAAATAAATATTTCTTTTTTATAGTGCTAAGATTAATGTTACTTCTCACAGTACATGAAATCATTTATTTCGACGTATATAAAATAATGTAGTTAAATCATGAACCGAATAAAACTGCAGATATGATTTCTGATTGTATACGTGCAGTCCCCTTTATGATTAACCTTGATATGTACTTTAGATAACATTTTTCTAGTATTATTATTGTAGGTTTATAAACTTTTTGTATGAATATGTAAAGCGGACATTTTGAAAGCAACAGATATACATTCTGCAGCATCCACGACGTCATTGATGCATTGCACCACTCAGTTCTCTACGAGAATCTTCGTCGATTATGTACTCACGAAAGTAAAAATGTATTTCCAAATTATGTTTTAATGAGATTTAATCTTTTTTTTTTGAGTAATTTTTTAAATCGATATAATTTCGAATATATTATTCTTTAAACCGAATCAATAAAAATTCCGTTGCTTTATAGTACTATGCTTCGAGACAATCTCGGCGAGTTATTTAAAGCCTCGCGACATATTCGCGTAGATATATTTGGTACTCTTAGTTTTAAATAACCGCTAGATGAAACCCTACTCAATGCGAATGTCTCGTGCGCGAAGTTTTATGAAAACCGAAATAATAAAAGTTGAAATAGTAGCCAGTGTGATTTGGTGATTATCTTGTAAGTTTTTGCTGTTTTTCTATTAAACTATGCAATATATTATAGAATTAGTAAATCAATTACATAATGCATCATTAATTTCGCGTTTTATCGTATGAATGCATGTTATTACATGATAAAATTAATCTTAATGAGAAAGACAGCGTATACATAAATAATTTGTAAATTTATGGTCAGTTGTAAAAATATTAATTATATCACTGTATTGGATGGTATAACTATAGATCTCTCTTTAGCGTGGGTATATGATTGTTCATTGGATATGCTTTATTACGCTCATACGTTTTCATTAGGCTGATGCCGCACTTGTTTAAATGGCACGTATCTTAATAGGATAATGCCTGGATCAATAGATTTGATAGTGTCTACAGCGTACATTGGAGTCACGATTTGGATAGCGTATTGGCTAAGGCTGTATGCATTATTTTATCTTGATTCTTATCCCCTCACAAGAGCTTTGGTTTTTGAATTCATAGCTACAGCAGAACTTTGTGGGGCATGTTTCGAGCTCATTATAAGTAAGTCTTGACTCTGTTTTATAAATATAAGTATTAATTTTACGATATACGATTAACTTTGATGAACGATAAACTTGTGGATTCAGAGATCTATTATTTATATTGCAATTATATTTATATATTGCGTATTATTACATACATATGTTAGCATTATAATTATATATTTTTTCATTGTATGTATTTTTAAACTATTAATTAAAATGTTTTATATTATTTTTTGTCATGTTTATTGTACATGTTACAATAGCACTTGTCCTAAGTCTTTTCCCCCCTAAAAAGTTTGAACTTTCTTTAGTTGCGGACAATTGGGGAGTATGGATGTACGCGCTTTATTTGTTTCTACTAACAATCTGGTGGTCGGTAAACTGGGATGAAGCTTCTGCGTGTCCTTATACACACATGGAGGATGTAGTAATACGTAAAAAGCCCTTGATTGTCGCATTTTTATCGATATGCGCGGAATTGGCCGGTGGTCTTCTTATATTTAAATACATCCAAATATTGTGGGCGTTACAATTCGCTTCTACGCACAAGAATAGAGCTTATGGCGATTGCACTACAGATTTGCAGGCAAGACTGAATCATCATTTTTCCCATTAACAAATTATAAACTGATTAATTTTTAAATAATATTTTAAATAGGAGTTTCATTATTCATTCGATGTATTGCGCGATATGTAGTACGCTTTCATAATTTCAATACATACGACTGGGAATAATTTTATGAATTGAAAAGCACCTGCGATGATTTTTTAGGTATCCGTTATAATTGGAGCGCTTGTGGAATGCGTTGCAACATGCATGTGCAGAGTGGTATCCCGCGTGCTGGGTGACTTGAACCCGAGGTTTAGCACGGTCATCGATGCTTTTGTGGGGACGTCTTTGGTAGTTGCAGGTTGGTGAATGTTTCTATATTCTTTCTTATGATGTGAAAAAATATCTTGTATCGTTGATCTTTAAAATGTATTTCAGCTTTCAATTACACCGGTGGTTACTTTAATCCTGCACTGGCAACTTCTTTAAAATATGGTTGTCTAGGAACCTCGTCCATGGAGCATGTGATAGTTTATTGGATTGGAACATGCATCGGATCTATCGCCTCCTTGCACGTGTACCGTATGCCGTTTGTACAAAATTTCATTCAAGTACAAGAAAGTACAGATGCCGTTTATTAGATAAAAAATTCGGTAAAATTATTTTCAAGAGAATTTAAATGTTTGTGGTTTATAATTATAATCATCAGTACCTCTTTAATTACGTACAAAAGTCTAACAATGTACAAAACTGTGTGCCAAAATTAAAAACGATAGTTTTATACATTCCCATTGTCGTGTAAATAATTATGAACCTGTTCGCAGTTCTGATTACACTTCGGAGACAAAAAAGTATTCTAAAATTGTTGACCTATATTAATAAATATTTTAAAAATATTATATAATAATTTTTAATCGTTATTACCTCTGCACTTTTACATTTGCAATCCCTCATAAAGAAGAAATTGATGACTGATATATATATATAGTTTATGACAGAATCTAAGGTAAAATATTTCAACAAGCTATTTTTTTAACATAATTTTTCATAAAATTATTATTGCAATTATTATTTTATATATAATTATGAAAAATATGAAAATGTATATATATAAATATATATACACAGGGTGATCTGCAATTCCCGCATTCAGAGTACAGGACATGATACTTTATGTTAAAACAAACAATTTTTTCCTTTAACAAAATTGCACCCTATAAATAATTTTTGCGTTTACTTGTATAACTTCAACCTGTTTTTCTGCAAAAATTATTTGTCGGATGCAATTTGCTAAAGGAAAAAGTTGTTTTTTGTTGTTTGTTTTTTGTGCTAAAACGAACAACTTTTTCCTGTAAATTACATTCGATAAATAATTTTTGCGTTTACTTGTATAACTTCAACCTGTTTTTCTGCAAAAATTATTTGTCGGATGCAATTTGCTAAAGGAAAAAGTTGTTTGTTTTAGCATAAAATATCATGTTTGTACTCCGAATGCGGGAATTTCGGATCATCCTGTATATATTACATAAAATAGAAAACAATAATATTAACAAATGATAACAGAAATGAGTAGAAATGTTAAGACAAATTATATATAGAATTCCGCCTTAGATGATAAGTTGTATTCAACCACTTCATTCTCGTACATTTCAATACTCTGCAAAATGACCAAATGAATGTGTATTATTTTACAAAATCATTAATTTTATAAATAAACGTTACAATTGCTTTCGTTATACTTTATTAACGTGTTTTTTTCTATTTGCAGGCATTAAACAATAAAATAATATTATTTTATTCTTATATAAGAATTGTATGTTTTTTCTTCATTTAATAAAAAACAGAAATTAATTTTTTAAAACTTAATTTGCAAACTCTAAAGAGAACCATAAAGAAAAGAATGCTGTCTTCCACGTTCCACAAACTTACTTGTGGAAAATCCGGTATATTATTAAAAAAGACCGTTAGGACGAAGAGCTATTAAACTTACTATATTGATGTCCTTGTCCAGCTCTTCTACTTGTTTTTCATGCGTAACCTTCAGCTTCTCTTTCTCACGACCCTGCTTGATCTCTATAGTCTTTCTCTCTTCCACGAATTTCTTCGTATTCTGTTGCTTCTTTTCGCGAAGTCGTCTATCCTTCTCACCCTTTGTCTTCAAAGTCTTATCATTCATCACCTCTTTCGCCGTTTCCACGGACACTTTCGCTTGATTGGTATTCAGATCCTTTATGTCTCTACAATATTAACGTGTTTAAACGACATGGTAAAAAATATTATAACTTACGCTATTGCAAAGATTTGTCATTGGGAAATATAATAAAACAAATAAATGGTGTTGTGAACCAACTTGTCATGCTTCGTCTGCAATTGTTTAATTTGCGTAGCTTGCACAATCTCGATCAGTCTCTTCAACTCGTCACGAGAGCTCTGCGTTTGATTCTTCAATAAATCCCATTCCTCTTTCCTCTGCTTTTCCATCATGGTGGACCATTGAGCTGTTTGTTCGCTTATAATTTTCTTGACATTCGCGTCTTGCGTCAGAGTATTTTTGCTAAAAATATCATGTACGTTAAATAGCATATTAAATATATAGAGTGTCTCAGGATTTAACGGACAAACTGTAGGAGTCTGTTCTATCAGTGGAAATATAAGAAAAAAATGTTATATGAAGTTTAACTAGAAATGCTTTATTGCGAAATTATAAACAAATATTGAAAAGGAACATTTTGGTGGTATTTTGATAGAATATTGATATTTTGTGGCAGTTATTGTTTTATGACAATGGAAATCTAACATCTTCAATCTTTCCACACACGAAATGTATACTTTCATATTCTGTGTAATGGAAAATATGTTGTTTCCTTTTTCATGCTTCGTTTTAATATTTGTTTATAACTTTGTAATAAAGAATTTCTTACCAAATTTCACATAACATTTTTGTCCTATTTTCATTTATAAAATATATATGTTCCCGTAGTTTATCCTTTAAAAATAAATCCTGAGATATTTTGTATATAATATTAGATATAATATTCTGAATTTCTCAAATTTTTTTCGTGCAATAGAATTACATTGAAATAGAAAACTTCAACGCACTCTTTTCCTCTAGTTAATTTTTCGATAGCACCACAATGATTCTTCTGCATAGTTTGCCTCTCTTTAACGTGTTTCTTCTTCAGGGTATCCAACTCTTTCTGGTGCTTTTTACCCATTTTAAAACCTTTCTCCTTTTTCAAGAATTCTAACGTAATAGGTTCCAGTTTCAATGCCTCTGAAATTATGTAAGAATTGTATACATACCACATGTATAACAATTAAATAATATTTGATACAATTTGTTCCCTTACCATTTAATTGAATCGTATACTATAAAAATATAATTATATATAATTTTATTACCCTTCTTCGCTTCTTCTTCTTTCTTCTTTTTAGCATCTGCCTTAGCATCGGTCTGTTCTATTCCGAGTCCCTTCATCGTCTCAGTTTGCTTCTCGGCGGCCTTGCTAAAACCGCCCGGATCCGACAAGGCGGCCATAAAGTCTGAAATTGGAGGCGTGCTTGTGAGAGAACGCCGTGAAGAGTGCTACTATTTTTGAGCCGCTGGGATACTACCTTCGAATCCATCGGGGACGTAAATCTTCAACTCTATGTTGCAGAAAAGCATAGGCAACGCCATTGGAAAGTTCGCTTCGGTCTTCAAGGAGATATGTCTGTAGCCAGCCTGAAGGCCGTCCAAGGGTAAGATTCGCTGTCCGAGCAATTTGCCATTTTCTTCGTACACACCTGCCAGAAATGAAACATAACTATTGAAAAATATTTGAGTTGTAGAGACATCAATATTTATTTACTTCAAATTTATATTATAGTGGATATCCACGTAAAGAAAGAGGCGTTAGTACCAAATCTGAGTACTGCTAAATCCGGAAGCACGACCTTCCGGAACAAGAACGGTTCTTCGTTGTAGACCGGATTCAGACCGTTCGCTGGCACCATCCGTGTTCTGAATTCCTTCTTGATCGTGTCTGCTGGTAGACCGTACATGTCCACCTCCACGTACGTGCCAACTTTCTTATCCGACAAGAATTGCCCGGCTATGACTTGAACCGCGCATTGCGCGGTGATGATACCGTCGACGTCCTCGGAAAAGGGATCGAAGCTTCGATCGGGTCTTCGCATGAAGTCAGGTTTTAACAAATAACCCGTCGTACCATTATACTCGAATTTTCCCTGATTGAGCTGCATCGGCAAATCAGGAGTTTGGAAATTCAAAGCCACCATCTGGCAGCCGGCGTTCCAAAAAACCTAAATAAAAATGAGAGTCTCGCATAAAATAAGTATATGTAAAACAAGATGATCCATTTTTTCTCAAAATAATATTTAACGAAAGAACGTTTGATGCAATCCGTATATATATTATTAAATAATACACGAAAAAAACGCTTTTACTAAAGAATCTAAAAATTTAAGTATTGTAAATAAAGATCTGAAAATAATTTTATTGAACCATATTAAAACAATTATGTAAGTAACTCACAAACATGATCAACAATGCTGCAAAAAAATGTTAACATTCTAGCTTGATAGTCATAATTATTTTGAGTACAACAGAATTATTTTTAGATTTGTATCTAACTAAATTTTTAGATATATTAAAACCGTTTTTTCTATGCAGAGATATAACGTGAGTAATAACTCTGCGGGGAATCTAAACGCGTTTGTGTATCGTCGCAGTTACCTGGGGCATGTAATTCGATGAATCAGCCCTCGTGCCCTTTGGATATATTCGACTCATTTGCCGCTTGTTGTAATTAACGAACTCCACGGAGTGAGTTTTCAGATAGTTAAGAGCAGCAGTCTCGGAGAACGAAGACATATTATGATGTATATTCTTGCCTGCAACGTCGGGGTCGAGACATTAGTACATGTCGCGCGCGCGACACGTGCGCACGTGTACGCTCATTCATTTAACTCTCCTTAAGTCTCCAGGACGTACGCACTACCACATAAACACCCGCTACCTCGGTAAATTTAAGACATAATATGGCACACAAAACTCATCGCAAGAAAGAAAGAATAATATTAAATTTCACGCATTTACAGATTCACGTATTCGCTGGATAAAATTTTTGCATAATTTTTACAGATAACATCTTAGAAACTTCCAAAAAATTTCCACGAAATCTAGACAATAATTTTAACACTAGGGCTATCGACTAATATAAAGTTTTTCTTTGTTTTTCAAAAGAAGCAAAAAAATGTAAAAGCAAGTGAGGCGAGAGGTAAAAAATATTTTTAAAATTGTGAAAATTATTTAAATTATATCGTGTTTACACTCATTTTAATCAAAATGATATTGTCAGTATAATAAAATTACTTTTAATATAAAATGAAAAATAAAAATTTTTAAACTTTATTTTTTATTTCTGTTGTTTTGGCGATATTATTTGATAAATAGATCTATGCTGAGCATTGAAACGTGTGCTCCTAATGATGTACTTCAACAAATTTAGCTCGTTATTTAATGTACTGCGAATTAAAAAAGATTGAAAAATATTGGACTACATAATTATACTTATTTTTACTATTTAAATATATTATATATATATATGTATTTCTTTGAAAAAAAAGGATAAAGAGAAAAAATAAATTAATCAATTTAATCATTTACATATTGTGCAAAAATGCGGAAGTTAAAAAAACACCGTTATTTTGATAAAAATTTATAAATCCGTTATTTTGGCTGCTTTAGTATTCTAAGTTAAAAATAATTTTCATAAATTCTGAAAGTTATCACAAATTCATACGTTGATCATCTTAACTATACAATTATTATTATTATACAATTACTGATAAGTATAGAATGTTTCGATAAATGGTATCACGTACTCTCTGCAGCTTCGAAACTTTGAAACTTTATTGGCTGCGCGTAGTTTATCATTGCCGAGAGATAAGGATGAACTCGCATTGTACTGCCTGTGTATTGAATCGCTTGTACCTCTTCAGTACCTTCGCCTCCGGCAGGAGCTTCGCCTTCCTGCACAACGTATCAAAGGCAATGTGTAAAATTGTTGATTTTTCAAAAAGAAGAATAAGAGTGAGAAAAATAGAATGAGATTTAACTGTTTGCAAATTCAATCAATGTGGTTAATCACCTTCGGTGGCTCTGGTCCTGGAGGTAGAGCAGCTGCGGGTGCACTGGCATCTTCTACCATTTCATCCTTGTCTTCGAATTGTCCGGCGCGGAAAAGCTCGAGCTCGATTTTTTCCACTTCCGGCTTCAATCGTTTATTTTTTATCAATATTTTGCGTTTCAACGCATTTGGCGGAGGAAGAAGACATCCAGGCTCAAGCTGGAAATAATGTACACGTTCACATATATGATTAATTTTAATTTGCTAATCGGATCATTAAGCTGGTTCTACATTAGTCACATCGCAACGTCGCGCGTCGCAAAAGTGTCGCAAGCGTTGCGGTCCAATTAGAGTTGAGTTTGCTTGATGTTGATTGGACTTGCGACGCTGCAATCTACTACCATAGAAGCAGCTTTAAACGTGGTGTCTTTTGACGCATCTCTCACTCACGGGATAATCTTTTAAGGGCTCTTTCAGCAACAGGTCACCAAATATTTCATCGCAATATTTAGCCAATTTATATTGCTGCTTCATGCAGCAGTGATTCTCGAAACTCAGAATTAAGGGATACTCGGAAGTGACGAACGCAGTGTCTCTTATAGCATAAATCACATCCTTGAAAAGGATGTCGGTACACATAGCTTTGCCGTGAGTTATAATCGGCTCCTCATCTTCGCCCTTTCCATCCCAACAGTCTAATTCGACGCACCTGCAGTCACAATAGTCTTTTTTTCATATTCCATCCGGAATCATTTTCCATCCAAAATATTTTTCGATCTGTATATCGTTTCCTATTCGATGTATATGTCGTCAGTCGTTACAAATTGAAAGATTATATTACCTGCAACCAGCAAGTAGAACCTGTCGATACATTTCAACAGTGCTCTTGCCACCGATCTGACGGCCGCTAAGATAAGTGTTATGGCTCGAATTGATATAATAATGCGAGAGCGGCTGGTCCATGTCCATCCATTCTTCCAATTTGTCTAAAAATACCGGCGCGTTTTCATCTGACATTAAGTATCGTATAAAACCGTCCTTCGTCAGTTTCTCTGAAAATAATAAAAGTAGAACACCGCATAAAAAAAATGGACAATAACGAAAAAAACTAAATTTTGTGGAGGCTCACTTTCCGCTTTTGCTTTCTCATCCGTTTCGTAGTCATTGATGATCTCGGTACATCTCTTCTCTGTATATAGTGGATATAAGATCTCATTGAGTAGCGGATCTCTCTGCTTTGTATTCATAAATTCTACCAATTGCTGCAAACTTATGGTATCGATTTTCCCTTTCGTGCTATAAACAAGAAAATAGTGATACGTCCTCTATATAACGTGAGAAATTATACAAAATCCAATTTAATACTTACATGGATTGAAAAAGCTCCTCTATATCATTCCTAGGACATATCTTGAAGTATAAACTGTAAAATTTATCAAACGTGAAGGCCTCTGGTTCTATTTTGTCATTCTAAAATGTGAGAAATAACAATTTATAAAATATAATATGCGCGCGCGTTGATATATTTTCTTATATTATTTACACACGTAAATGAGAATTGATATTTATGATCTGAATACAAATATCAATTCTCACTTACAATTAACATCAACTTTGAGATATTTAAATATCAAATAATGCTATACGCCAAATAATATTTAAAAACATATAAACTTCGTATACATACGAGGTAATAACTTTATAAATATACAAAATAATACTATTTTTTACGTGTAGATTTACGTGCAAAAATCATTTGCAAGCGAAACACTTATATTGTTGAATTAAAAGGTATTAATTCTCTATTCCATTTGAAATGGGAAAAAGTCGTGCAACTTGCAGCGATAACTTTGAAATTTTCTTAAATGAACTTTAAATAAACTTTATTGATCGTATTCACAAATGTTAATTAAGGCTTTTTCCTTTTGAAAATTCTCTTATTGACTTACCTTTCCACTAGGCAAACCTAGTTCCGATAATCCTTGATAAACGAGTTTCTCGGTCTTTCCAGATGCAAAAGTCTTTGATATCACTTTTACAGGAACCTTTCCTTTCGAATCGACTTGGAAACTTAGCCGCATCCAACTGGCAGATCCGATTAATGAGCAGCCAAATTTTATTTAATGATCAAAATAAACATCAGCGTTCGAATAAATATTTGTTATATTTTTGCAGCTATATTGGATTCGAATTAATGAATACGTACTGCTTCATAAGCTGTATTGTTGGACAAACGTTACTTGCTTTCGTATTGTGCGTAATTAAACGCAAACCAGCTTGCCAATCCTGAATTGATTAACCACAGATTAACATTAACATATAGAGAAGTTAGATAAGAAGATAATTGAGAGCACTAATTACATTATCGATAAAGCAATACAAAATAAATGCAAATGGAAATCAAATGTTTGTATATTTAACTCAAAAGATAAAAGAGCAAATTGAATAATTAAATTAAATGTTAAATTGTAAGTAGGTAATGTAATTCTGTATGTTAACGGTCAATGCTCAATTGTGTCAGTTGCCATGAGTAATTTAATTATGATAATATAACATTATTTTATAATTAAATTAAAAAAGAATCCCGAGAAAAAATATTTTATGTAGAATTATATAAAATTATATAGTTATATATATATATTATAGTTATATTATAAGTTTATGTATACAATTTTAATTATTTCATAACTTTTTGATTATTACCTTAGCCGTTTGTACATCCGGGCATACAATGTGCTGATAAGTAATATTCGTATAATCTACTCCGGAACAGATAGTTAAACTTTTTTGGTCTAATTGCTCAGATGTTCCGTGTTTACTTAATTTATTGCATAACTTTGGATCCTAGATAAATCGATCGTCGACGTTACTCGATGAAACAAATCATTACTATAACATTGCTCTCACAGATCATTCCAGCAACATTGCAACGATCCAGCAATATTACAATAACATTGTAAATGTTGCAATGTCACTGCAAGCTTTTATGATGTATGGATTATTTTTCTTTATACGAATTTTTTTTACCTTCGGCATGCCCCCATAACGAATATCGCTCACTTGAGCCAATTCTATAACATCGCCATCCTACAAAAAGTCATGAGTATTATTTACGTCGTGAGTTTATTTATTAAAAAATAATAACCGAACAAAATTTGTCTGTTTAAAAGTAAATTTACAAAGATTCTGCGATAAGCTACCTTGCCGTCACTTTTCCAATATATGAAGAAACCGTACTCATCGACTTTAAATAGGCAATTCGGCTCGTATTCAGTAGTCTCCTTGTCTTCAAACCATCGATCGAACACCGAGCCATTTCTCAAGAGCTCCGGCACTTCGATGCGCCAATTAAATTCGAACTTCTTTGTCATGGTTCGGCAACTTTAAGCGGAACGACGTTAAGGGAAACTTCAATGCGAACTTGAGCTTGCCCGATGCTCAAATGAGAGAATGCCATCGCGGGACTTGTGTCCCAGAAACGCATAATGCAATTAGTTATATCTAATTTACCGTATGAGGATTCAATATGATGGAAACCCGCTGCGTAACAGAGATTCTAAACATAAGCGCGCTTATAGCGAAACCTTTTCTAAAGTTATCTGTATTATACAGTTTAATAGCCAAATATAACCATGAATTGTTATAAAGAGAAAAAAGTGATTTGTTGTGACAATGATAAATTTTGTTTTAACATTTCCGAAGATAAAATGCTATGAAAAAAATTAAGAGAGTAATATGGAAAAGTCGGATATCGTTGAGAAAAATATATTTTTGGACAATATATAATAATTTATTAAAATTATTATGATTAACGATGTTGTACACATTAGATTGCGTATTGACTGCGATATATACAGAAATATACTCTTATGTCAAATCAGTGCTTGTCTATATAATCTATCACATGACAATGGCGTAAAGAGTAACAGTTTACAAGAAATAACACTTTATAAGAAGTATATAACAAATATGTTCTTATCCTAATGACTCTTTCGCAAGTGATTACCGTCCTTATAACAAGATTATAAATATGGAATGTTGACTGCCACGATAGTTATCGTAATGACCGACGATAAACATTTCTTATTAACGAATGACATTTCTTATTAACCGCAATTATTCCTCAAAATGCTTTGGCATCCTGTGTGTGGATTAAGTGCTGCGTGAAAAGCTAATCGTGTTCCTGCGAGTTGATATATTATATTATCACGTCTGAGGCTTCATTTGATTGTAGGAATTCAGTTGTATGGATGTATTCATGTCCGTTTGTGGCTCCTTGAGCATGTCCTCTGGCAGATTGTGCATGGGCTCCATGCAGTATTCCTGTCCGCAAACTTTGCACGCCTCGAAGTGTGGTTTGATGGAATTTTTGAATCTCTGTGGATGAAAGTTCTTGTATAGAAAGCGAAATATTTTTTCTTTTCTAGCGATACTTTTTTAAAGTTATTTTTAGTAAATTTTTTTTAGCAATCTAACAATATTTTCAATGGTATAATAGGCTTTTTTATTGATGATATGAAAAATCAATAGTATTCAATTTTCTGTTAATTTTTAAAGATATTTTCTATCAATTTTCAAAGAAATTCTCTCGTTATAATAAAGACATTATTAAAATAATATATAACATTTTTATATATATGTTTTCATAGTAAGATAATTAACGCTAGTAACTACCGACAATTAACGTATACTTATTTAAAATAATACAAAGGAAAATAAGTTCTATATATCTATTATAATATAAGGAAATTTAATTATATATACATATTGCAATAAAAGTCATGGTAAATCTTAGAAAATATAGTGCTGTACATTTAATAAAAAATTACAACTAGTCATTCAGATTATTTTGATAGTTCTAATGTTAATTTTTTTATAATGAATTAATTGACTTCAATTCAACAGTGTCAATAAAACTTAACATACTTCGGCAAACGTCGCACCATCCGCTCTGATGAACACACAAACGGCAAAAGCGGGAATGCAAATTAAGGAGAGAGACGCGATGCCCCATCCGATTGCTTCTGCCCACCATGGATATATGTAATCACCGTTGTGGTAGGTCGGCGGTTCATAATCAATTAAACTGAACACCCATACAGCCTAAGAAGATAAGATAATTATAATAATACTGTCGTACATATCTTGAAAATTGCCGACTGCATAAAGATAAGTGCGAGGGAGCAGGATTGAAAGCGGGCAATTATCTATATAATTGTTACCATCAGATAAAAACAAGATATATCATGTTTTTCTGAGAATAATAGTTGCGCGAACGTGAATAATTGACGTTTGTGAATCCGTTTCTAAATCCGGAATGTTTTGTCGTACTGTTTTTCTTTGCAGTCAATATTTTTTTACGCTTTATTTAGATATATAGATTATCGATACAGAATAAAAGTTTTAATATCTTAAAATTAATATTTTTGAATACCATTATAAGAAGAGGCGCAGCGAGGAACCAACAGAACCGGAAGTATTTCGAAGGTAAGCGTCCAGTCATCTCCTTGACGTTATTGCACAGTCGCCGTACGCCGTAAAGCCACGAGATGGCAATTACTTCGAAGAACGCCAAGAACATGATAGACATCGATGCGGCATAATGATCTATTAGTTGGAAAAAATAAATACCGCCCTGAGGCAGTCAGAAAATCATTTAGTAAGGGATAAGAGTGTTAGTTTTTATTACACTGTAAACATCAATTCGAGTGTCGTTTTACCTGCGTAATATTTGGCAATCCAAATAAGAACGAAATGACGCATATAAGGAGGACCAGCACTTCGTGGCAGAGAAGATGACGCTTCACCCAATTTGGGAAACCGTCTTGGATTGACGTAACAACCACTTCAACAACGGCAAACTGAAATTTCGGAGTTTATATAATAAAGCATTACAAAAGTCTAACTATTATACGATTTTCGAAATAGAAAGCTTGTTAAAATACGATTTGTATTTATTAAGCTATTGAGTAACGTGACTCGAGTATTTGTTTTTCCTTCCATGATTAACGCTGTTTGCATCTCCATAGATAATTCGCTCGACGATACAATTCGACGTAATTGTGTTTGTTTACAGATTAATCTGTAATCGCGTGTGTACACAGCATTACGATAGGAAATAAAGCTTTATCTGTCATTATTTGTCATATATGCTTACTTGACTGTTTAACGAAAGGCAGACCAGCATAAAGAAAAATAGCACAGCCCAGAGTTGAGAAGCTGGCATCTTGGCTAGCGCTTGCGGATAGATGACGAAGACTAGACCAGGTCCTTGAACGGAAATTATGATTTATCTATAAAATGTCAGGGGGAGTTAATCTGACGATGTAAAATAAATGAGGAAAAAATTAAAAAAAAAGATGCAACACAGTCTCGACATTGCAAATTCTACGTCTTATACCCTTTCTCTCCATAACGCGCGTGACATACTTATATTGATACTTACACAATTTATCATATTTAGCGTGACGTAAACTTCATTTCTATACGTACCATCGGTTAGGACAGCATCGACAGACATGTTTTGCTCCAGCGCTATATTGCCGATTGTGGCGAACGAGAATATTCCAACTAGTAAACTACTGAAGGCGTTTATGAGTGAAACGGCGACGGTGTCTACGAGGATTGTGTTGTGGAATCGATTGTAACTCGCAAAACATATCATCGAGCCGAAAGCTATTCCTACAGAATTGAAGACTTGCGCCGCGGCGTTAATCCAGACCTAATTAATAAATATTGATAATAAATGATATAATTAATAATAATAAATATTAGATTGATATATGAATAACACAACTAATTATAAGTAGGAAAATGCCATTTTGATCTGAGCTAAATCTTGATGCTTAACCTTTAGAGGATGGGGTTCTATTTTACAGTTTTTCCTTGAATAAGATTTATTATAATTCATTATTTTATTACAGTCTTTGTCTCAAAATATGAATATACTGTTTCAGCTACTATAACTTTCTCATCCTGTAAAGATTAATAAAATTTCAGTTAAAATTATAAATATTCACAGTTCATTTAAACTGGATATTTATAACTAACTTTAATTTTAATTAACATTCAAGGTGAAATACTCTTTTTTATCATGTAAAAAAGATACGATTTTAATTTGAAGTTAAGTTGTTAATATAATATATATGTTTAAGCTTTAAGCAATAATAATGTATATTTATACTTCACTTGTATACGTCTTCACATGTACATCTTTCACAGTAATAGAATAATTTCTATTATTAATTACGGCTATTCTATTATTCTATTACTCATCATATTTCTCATTCTTGTTAATCGCGAAATCGATATTACGATACCTTTGCATCGCCAAGCAATTCCCAGCGTGGATGGAAAAAGAATTGCAGACCTTTCGCGGCTCCTTCTAGAGTGAGGGATCGCGTGAGGAAGACCACGATTAGAAGAAAAGGCAGCGTTGCTGTCAGATATCTCACTTGTGCTGATGACTTAATGGACTTCCAGATGGAAAAATATACCATGATCCATGCAGTTATCAAGCACGCCACGAGCTCCCATCTCAAAATCCCCGGCTCTTCGATGCCACTACTAATTTGCAGAACCTTGTTGCTGAAATAGAAAGACAATTATTCTTTCTTTAAACACTTCGAAGCTACAAAACGCGATCGTTTTACGAACTATCTTACATGCGATATAATAACTGGATATGTTTTAAACTTTTTTTAAAAAGTATACATATATAGTAACATATAATATTATCCATATATTTATACAATTATAATAACAAATTGAATTAATTAGTTTAAATATTAAAAAAATTACTCGAAGAAGTCTTCGGATGGTGTTCTTGTCAGATTCGGCCGAGTTCGATTATCGATAGACCCATAACTAGGTAGCCAACAGCGCGGCGAGTTCCACGAATTGT